TCAGCCGCAGAACCCGGCGGCTTCCGCGGGTTTTAACCAGGAGACTCTCCAGCAGCGCCTTCAGGCTCTGATCGAAGGTGCCCCCAAGAGCTGGACCTACGCCATATTCTGGCAGTTGTCCTACGATTTCTCCGGCGCCGCCGTCCTCGGCTGGGGAGATGGCTACTACAAGGGCGAAGAGGACAAGGCTCAGCCTTCGCGGCGGAGTCCGAGGACTTTTTTCTCTTCTCCGGCGGAGCAGGAGCACCGGAAAAGGATCCTCTCGGAGCTCAACTCGCTTATCTCCGGCGGAGCTGTCCCATCCGACGACGCCGTCAACGAGGAGGTGACCGATACTGAGTGGTTTTTCCTGGTCTCTATGACTCAGAGTTTCCCCAGTGGATCCGGGTTGGCGGGCAAGGCGTACTCGACGTCGAACCCGGTTTGGGTTATCGGGTCGGATCAACTCTCCAGCTCGGGTTGTGAGCGGGCGAGGCAAGGTGGGGTATTCGGGTTGCAGACCATCGCGTGTATACCGTCGGCGAATGGAGTCGTCGAGCTCGGGTCGACGGAGATTATCCGACAGAGCTCGGGTCTAGTGAACAAGGTCCGAACCCTGTTCAAGTTCGACGGCGGAGATTTGTCGGAGCATCACTGGAGCCATGACCCGGATCAAGGCGAGAACGACCCATCCACGTGGATCTCCGACCCGACTGATTTAGGTCCCGGAACAAACGAATCGGGGCATGGAGCTCCGAGCTCAAGCTCGCAGCTTTTCTCCAGCACTATAACCGAGAACCTGAACCCGAACCCGGTTTACTCCCAGACCCAGAATCCGAAGTACAACAATTTCTCACGAGAAATCAATTGCTGGACCACGAATTCTATTTTGGCGATGCCACGATCCGGGGAGATTCTGAGCTTCGGCGAGGATGCTAAACGGGGCTCCGGTCCGAAGCCGGGACCATACTCGTGTCAGACCCAGTTCTTGAGCAGCGACAGCAAGAGGAAGACGACGAAGTCAATCCGAATAAACGAAGATGGGGTTCTCTCATTCGGATTCACCGGCGAGAAATTCGGCGACTCCGACCACTCTGACCTCGAGGCCTCCGTCGTGAAGGAGGCGGCGCCGGAGAAACGTCCGAGGAAACGTGGACGAAAGCCGGCGAATGGCCGGGAGGAACCGCTCAACCACGTCGAGGCGGAGCGACAGAGACGCGAGAAGCTAAACCAGCGGTTCTACGCGTTACGAGCAGTAGTTCCCAACGTGTCGAAAATGGACAAGGCGTCACTGTTGGGAGACGCAATCTCTTACATTAACGAGTTGAAGTCCAAACTACAAAGGGCCGAGTCCGACAAGACACAGTTCCAGTGCCAACTCGAGAACCTCAAGAGAGAGCTAGCGGGAAGACACGCGAACGCAAACGCGGGTATCCTGGACGCCAGCGATTCATCGTCCGCGGTTAGCAAACCGATAGGAATGGAAATCGAAGTGAAGATCATTGAATGGGACGCGATGATAAGGATCGAATCGAGCAAACGCAATCACCCGGCGGCGCGATTGATGACGGCGTTGAAGGAACTGGAGCTTGAGGTGAATCACGCGAGCGTCTCTGTGGTGAATGATCTGATGATACAACAGGCGACGGTGAAGTTAGGGTTCAGACCCTACACGCAAGAGCAGCTCAAGGCGGCGTTGATATCCAAAATCGGATAATTGTGGGGTCAATTTGTCATTAACACGTTTTAGAGGGGCTAATCATTTGTAGCTTTTCAGTTTTTAAGGGGTTAAACCATTAAACAAAGTTCAATCATATGTGTGACAGAAGGTTCATGTGTCGTACTAATAATGATTTATTATACATAATATATTGTTTAGATAACTCTTCAGTAATATTTTATTTCCACTTACGCAGCGTGCATATAAAAATATATGCATGTTTAATGTGATGCTGTTTTTTTTTTTTTTTTTTTTTTTTTTTTTGTATAAGTTAGCATCATTTTTTTTTTTGTGAGTTGTGAATCAAATTTATTCCAAAAATGAGTTAGATATCGGTTTGATAACCGTGAATACAAAGGGAATTAGTACTTCCACTTCCACGAGAGTGTTTTAACAAAAGAGCTTTGTAAGTTAGCATCACGTCCTTTGATTAGGAGCTTTTAATATTTTATATTCATTTTGTTGGTCGGAGTGAGGGTGTGTATGTTTATTTATTCATGAGAATAAGGAGACCACCGGTTGCATCGCCGTTAATCGCAAACGGAGCGGTTACAATTTTCAATGGTTGCGTACGATTAAAAAACGGATTGGTTGAACAGTAATCATCCTCAACCGCAACTAAACTTGTATTATTAATCGCATTTTAAAATCTACGTTTTTGTAACCGTTTCTAACGTTTAGACAAAAAAACTAAAATACTTTATTAAAATTTTTAAAACACTAATATATATATATATATATTGGTGATGATTTTGTTTAATGTTATGATTTGATATTATTTTTTAATATTATATTTTAATAAAAAAAATATTAGTACCATGTGATTATATGATTTTTAGGTTTAATAATATATTTTAAATAATTTTCATAATAAAATTAGTTTTTATTTTAAAATAAATTAAATTGATAATATTTTTATTTTAAATTTATTATTTAATTATTATAAATTTAATAAATAATTTTTATCAAGATACTAAAAATTTAATTACCACTATTATAAAAAATATTTTAAAGTAATATTCCTTTTTTTATATAATTTATATCGAAATGCAATTGCAACCGTAACGAACCATTCACTTCTAATCATATCCACCCAAAATCGCGGTCAATAACAACTTATCAACCAATTTATCGCTCATAATCGCTATCAAACATTGTGAAAACGTCGACATCCGTAACCGCAACCGCAACAATACGATCAGTCATGAAAAAAATATCACGTTGTAAAATAGATATAGGGAAAATTGTCTATGTAAAATCTATGAATTTTGAAGCACGTGTGTTTTTTCTATGTGCACATGATTCATATGCATGCATGCATGTGTGTATAAACAAGGGGTAGCGTATGATATTTAATTCCAATTGTCTTGATTCAACGTATGAAGGGAAATTGTTGATATATATGTCGTATCGTGATTGTGGGGATCAGATGGGTCATGCCACGAAAATCTTATCCGAGTTTTTGTTATGATGCTATTTTGTTTCGTCCATGGGAAAGAGACGAGACAACGACGTATCCCATATTTGCTACTTTTTCCACTTTAATATTGTCTTCTTTTACAGAAATTATATATATACATTTATATATATATATATATACATTTATATTATATATATATATATATATATTAAAAGAGTTTGTGAATTCCTTTATTAATTGTTCTTACGTGGATGTATGTACCTATATATGTATATGGTCCACTGACAGGACTGACTCTATATATATATATATATATGTATATAGTGCAATGAAACATGAAATTTGTTGGTCCTCCATATTAAAAATCTCAATGATAAAAAGGCCAAAAAAAGTGCAATGAAACATGAAATTGTCCTTTAACAAAAAAAAAACATGAAATTGTCCGCCTGAAAATCGATGCGACTGTGAAAGGTTTTACAATATGTTGTAATATTTAAATATTTATTAGTATCATTGGGCTATGATTCAACACGTGGTGGCTCTTCCTTACATTTCGGCCCAATTACTCTTCAAATTTATGTTTTTTGTTTGTTTTTTTTTGGAATAACCATAAAAGGTTTTTATATGTGAAAAATCTAAATTTAGATTTTATGATGTCAGTGTTTATCCCCCAAAATTAGAACACAGATAGAAACTATGAACTGATTGTAGAATTTAGTAAGAACCAAATATAGAGTTTAGTTGGGTTGTATGCTCCATTACAAAACCACAGACGATCAAAAACTCACAACAAATAATAGAATTTCCCAAGACAAGACTTTGAAAATTTAAAAAATAACCCATTAAAAAGAAGAAACAAAAAAACGGCATCAAAAGTTTTCATTTTTGGATCCGATTCCTCTCTTCTTTAGCGAAGATCGATCAAACGACCAAAACCCATAAAGAAAAAGGAAACAAACCTCAAAGAAACTTGTAAATTTTCTGGGCTAAGATCTTCTCTGTTCTTGGGCAAAAAAAAAAACATGAGCTTGAACTGCCTAACATGCCATGCCTTGCAAAGATCAGATTCAGACGGAGACATGAGGAGACGTAAAGATCCAAACTTCATGGGAAAGATGATGAGGAACGGGTCTTCTTTGCCACAAGTGACGAGAATCAAGAAGGGTCATCGTCATCGAAGGCTTTACAGTGCAGATGCAGTCTATGAAGATTCTGGCAAGCCCAGATTGGTCAGAAGCTCAGGGATTAGAAGGGATTGGAGCTTTGAGGATTTGAACAAACATGGAGACAAGATCATTGGAGAGACAGTCAAAGAATGAGCCCCCCAAAACAAATGTTTCAGAATCAGAACCGTTTCTTTCTTTTCCTAGGTTTCTTCTCATGTTTCTGTTGCTGTTCATGTGGTCTCTAGTCGGGAGATTGGGCAACTCGTGTAATCTAATCTAGAATGAGTAAACTTTTCCAAAACTCTTAGCTCTCACATGACTAATTCAGCCGATATTCACACACGCATATACATACACATACACATTTAGGTGTGTGCATATGACATCAGAAAGCTGTGAAAAATGAAGGGTGGAAGGTAAAATGCACAGCCGTTGGTACAGTACAGTCGTTTACTCATCAAGATTCTAAAACAACTGACCTGAAGTTTCGATATTAAATCCGGGAGAACTACCTTGCCTGCTTCTGGTGTTTTCGATATGTCTGCAAAAAAAGAAAGAGCTAGTAAACACCACTAGTGTCAAGATGTTCTCTTTGATCATATCTTTCTCTATTTTAATCTTGATTACATATTTATTAAGCCGCATATGAAGTTTCTTGAAAATTGTAGCCCAAACCATTCAACTTCTCGACAACCACAATGGTTCCATCTTTCTTGTTTCTCGCTTCTGCCTTCCAATCTCTCCGGCCAGGCCTTATTTTCTGCTTCTCTTTGTCTATAAAGCCGGTAGAATTTCCATCACAATCTTCTGAGGTTTTGATTTTGATGGAAGATTCGGCTGAACCAACATCACGAGCCCTCTTCATCGAGTGAGCCCTTCTAGCGTCTTTTTTCCATTCTCTGCTACAATAAACACGCCATACGGAATTCTCAACTCGATAGCTAAGCTCTGGTTCAGGTTTCTCAGCCACACAAGATTGGTTGCTGATGCAAAGATTCTCGTTGTTGCTTGCTTCCAGTAACCGTTTCCTCGCCCTGTACCTACGTTGCCTTTCCCGGTTCTTCATGCGACGGATCATGATGTCACCATCACCAATGCTTCTCGACCCTTCTTCTTTCTCATCCATGACCAAATTATCTTGGTTTCCCCGGTTTCCTGCGAGTCCCATCAATCATAGAATGATTTGATCGGCATTTACATTGATGAAACAGGTAAAATCTATTCCCAGTTCTAAAGGGTTCTTGTAAAAGTTAAGCTTTTACAAGCAAACAGAGCTAAAAGGCAATGCGTAGCACTACTCTATGTATAATGCAATAGATCCCAGTAACAGATGAATTGAAAAGCTATAAACAAAAGCTATATACACAGAAAGACAAAAGCTTGACCTCGATGAACAGATTGGAGACTCGTGAAGAGCCAGTCTTGAGATTTAGAACATTTTTCAGATCGAAATATCAGCGATTAACAGAATCAGTGAATCGAACAGCAAACAAAAAGTGGGGAGCTGTGGTAAGAAAAACACAAATTACTTAGGTCCTCGCCAGTAAAATTAAAAACAAAGCTCGTGACTTCATCGATTATCCAACTTGGATTTCGAAAAAGGGTGAATTCACAGAGGGGCAGAACTGAGGGGAAACCCAGAAACCAATCTCGCTGACTGATCGGAGGAATCATAAGAACTAATCAAACAAAAAAGGAAAGCAGGAATCAAATCCCAGGAAAAAAGGGCAGTACCTTCGAACGGCTTCGCTGAACAAGAAACAAACGATGGTCGGTTCTCTTCTTGACCGGGCGCTTCAAAAGGTTTCAACTTTGAACAAGAGAGAGGTGTCGTCGGCCGGCACAAAACGCAAAACAGTGAAAGAAATTTATCAATAACATGTTAAGTGCTAATTTCAATTAGTGGACAGAAGGGGTGGTGGCGCAGTTGGCTAGCGCGTAGGTCTCATAGCTTCTGAGTGATCCTGAGGTCGAGAGTTCGAGCCTCTCTCACCCCATTTGCTTTTCCCCACTCAAATGTTTTCCTAAAAAGCGTATTAATAATATATATTATATATCAGGAATAACATACTATCATATAAAAGCTATATAACATATGAAAATGAAGAATGCCCTCTCTTCTTCATTCTTGGTAATATATTCATATAATTTATTAAAAAGCGGTTTTATATTTTTTCTCCTGATATTTTAGTAAAGGAAATGGAAAATTTTAACGATTTCGTATTGGATTGTATGAAAATCCATGTTCGTGGTAAGAATTTTAACGAGTTTTTTTTTTTTGTTTAGATTATATTATTTATTGAAAAATAATTAAAAAAATGACAAAAGTAGTTTCAAGAAAAAGTTTTGTAATACATTTTTTTTTCTTGATTTTTTTCTGACCTCTCTGTATGAAGAGTGTAAATTTATTACATAACGAAATAACTATTATGCTACATGAATCGGAGAAGATTAACAATGTAAGAGAAAAAAAAATGTAAAGAAAGAAAAAGAAAAAACACGAGAGAAAGACAAGAAGGGCAATGATGACATAATCGCACGTCAGCTCCCCACTTGACTGCAACCTGGAACCACTTAGACAATTCTTCGACTATTTTTTCGGAATATAAAAAAAACGGGAAAAGAAAAGATACGAAATGCCTTTTTTTTTGTTCCTCTTTTTGAAAACCTGGAGATTTGTTTCGTTCCGTTTCTTTGTTGACCCGATTAGGGTTTTCTTTGAATCTCCATAATTTGCGCCGTGAGATCTGGAGCGCAATCAAGGTAACTGGCCCTTCTGGGTGTGCTTGCATTCGATTTTTTCTCTGGCGAAAGGCGTGAGCTTTTGCTTCTCTTCTACTTTTTGGCCTCGTTTCTTTTTTGCGCTCGTCTGCTGGACGATGTAATTGATCGTGCGTTTGACGAAACTGTGAAATCGGAGAATCGTTTTGGTGATCTTTGGTCGAATTTCTTAGTACAGTCTCGAGGGTTTAGCTCAGGAGAAGGTTGGCTGGCTCTAGGATTAGGGATATTGCTTCTGAGCTTATGAATTTGGGTTTTCCTACTGAATCTTTGGTTTGATCCTGGATTGGATTCAGGTTTCCGAGGTGAATTAGGGATGTATGGTCGGAGTTTGGATCTCTCTTGATCGCTCTCGGTCCTTGCTTTGGTGGAAATCTAGATACTTGCTGCTACAGTTTCGCTTAGGCCAGAACCAGATCTAGGTTTAGCTGTGATAAGGTTGATTTTTTTCTGAATTTGTTGAAGGATTCGTCTCTTGGGTGTTATCTGAGACTCTGATTTGGTTAGTAAGTCTGATATAGAAGAGGACTTGGTGTAGCGAACTGAGCTTTCCCCTGATGGATAACTCGAGGCAAAGGCAAAGCGACCATTTGGGTGTGAATAAGATCGGGAAGAACATTAGGAAGAGTCCTTTGCACCAACCGAATTTTGCTAATGCTAACACTGCGAGGCCACAGCCACAGCCTCAGGTTTATAACATAAGCAAGAATGACTTTAGGAGTATTGTTCAGCAGCTAACGGGTTCGCCATCACGTGAAAGCCTTCCTCGGCCTCCTCAGAACCCGCCAAAGCCTCAGAATACACGGTTGCAGAGGATAAGGCCGGCACCGCTGACTCAGATTAGCCGGCCTCCGGTTCCTCCCCATGCTATGGCTCCTCCTCCGGTTCCTGCTCAGTTTAACAGTAACTTTGCCAGGCCACCGCCTCAACCTTATGCCCGGCCATTGCCACAAGCTATGCAACCGATGACAGGTCATGGGGATCAGGCTTGGTCTAATACAGCTGAGTCTCCTGTTTCTGTGTATATGCGTTATCTTCAAAGTTCGATTGCTGAGTCAGGACCCGATGGAAACCAAGTACAGCCAGCTCACGATTCCCAGCCACATATGCCAGCTCAATCTCAACCTCCGCCTCAAACCCTTATGCCGGGTCATCCTCAACCTCAGTACCGTGTGACGGGTCAACCTCAAATGCAGCCAGCATCATATGGAGCAGTTCCTTACGCAGCCATGCCGGTTCAACCAATGCCACCCAATCTTCCTTCCCCGAGGTTTAATGGTCCTGTACCGGTCATGCCTGCTTTGCCCTCTCCCCGGTTTAATGGCCCACCCCAACCGATACACGGTCTTCCTTCTCCACAATTTAGCGGTCCTGGGCTACTACCTTCCCCTACTTCCCAGTTCCTCCTGCCATCTCCCACCTCTTACCCGAACCTTTTCTCCCCAAGATCATCTTATTCTTACCCATTGCTGTCACCCGGAGTTCAATATCCTCCACCACTAACACCGACCTTCACATTTTCTCCTATGGGTCAAGCCGGAGTTCTTGGTCCATTTCCGAGCCCTCAACCTCCTCCATCCCCAGGTCTCTTGTTCCCGTTATCGCCATCTGGGTTTTTTCCAATGTCAAGTCCTAGATGGAGAGATCACTAGGAGAGGGTGATCGTCTTCTTCGAGTTTTCTTTTTTGTTGAATAAGGTAATCTGGTGATGTCTTAACCCTGTTTAGGCTAATGTTTGTATAATGAGAAGAGAGAAATCTTATGAGCTTACAGGATGGGAGAGGAGAGCCAGGGCTGTGAGACAATAAAGGAGAGTCCTAGGACAAGGCAGGTTTAGAAACATGTAATTTTTTGTAGCTTTTAAAGGGTGATAGGCAAAAGATTTAGTTGGTGGATGATTTTTTGTATTTTGTACCTTTTGTTTGTTGGTGAGGAAGGAACTTGCTCCCTCTCTCTCTCTCTCTGTTGGGCATTTTGGCTCAATGTTGTGAAAAATATGTACATTTACTATTGGGGAAAGGTCCCTTAAAGAATATTTTGTTTTTGTTTTATTATGTTATTCATTTGTGAGATACACACCCGTTGATCGTACAAAATGTTGTAGAAGAATTCTAACCAAGACTAGGGTTATAAAATGGGCCTATTTCTAGATGTGAAGGCCATTTCTCAAATTAAAACACTTATAGGTCCATTAGGTGATTAATTTTAAAATGGGCTATCGTGAAATTCAACATTTAGTTTAAATGTTGTATAATTATATATATGTGTGTGTATATAGATATGTAGATGTAAGCATAATTATATCGTTCTACTCAAAGGAAAACATCGACATACTGTACAAACATATCAAAGAGAAACCCAAAAAAATTAAAAAAGTCAATGTAATTAAACTGTTGGATAAGGAAAGGAGAAAATCACATATGATTACCAAACTAAGAATATCCATCATATACATAAAAAGATCCAGAGACAAGTAACCAAGACACTAGCCCATCAAACTGAACTGACCGGTCAGTTTTTCTTCCGTTAATTCTTTTGTTTTTTTTACCTGTTCTCTCTCCTGCGGACATTCCTGGTCCGGTCATGGTACTTTGGTCTATCCGAGCTTTTATGGGTCGTGAAATTCTCTATCCTCCTCTGTCTCTCCGGTGGCCGGGGAACTATCTCTCCGTTCATGAACAACTCAGCTGCATCAAGGAAAGGAGGAGTTGGATATGAAAAAGCTTAGTAGCTTGCCATTATGGAAACACAAACTGAGAACTAACAAGATAAAATTGGTAAAGGGTTTGTCTAATTTACGGGATATTGTCCATATCAAGGCAATGACGATATATCCTTAAAAACTTTGAATTTAAGGATCTGGCCTTTTATATATATGGGCTTTAATTAAAGAGCTTCTTATTCTTGTAGTTTCATATGTGCATGCACACTTACACTTACACATCTAAGTGTTCCATCTTCTGATTTCGAATTGTCACGAAATCGTATATAAATGTACCCGCAAAGAACACAAAATGTGCAAAGACAGAGACTTTGGTGTTTGAATGACATCAGATTCCGATCTCAGATATAACCATTTCGGACTGAATCATTAAACATGATATCAATAAACTGTTGAAACCTAATAGAAACCATGATACAGTGTCAATTGAATTACCTCCATAATCTTTGTATTCAGGATCGACATAAGAGTCTGGAAGCACAAACAGAACACCAGGAAGACCTAAAACACGAGAAGCAAGAACATCACTAATGATTGTAATAATTCAATAAACACATAACATGATCCAGTCATATGTTACAGAGATATACCCTCGAGTTTGTTGGATGTCTCCTCATCCATCTCACAGCCAAACCCAAAATACCTCTCGCATGACACATTGTATATCTTCTTCTTAGCTTCTTCCTCACTGAAAGAAAGCATCAAATGAGACGCCACCATTGTTGGGCATACGTCGTGATTAAAAAGTGGTACGAAATGGAAATCCTACCGAACACATAGGGATGATAATTTCTTTGTTTCTCCTCCAAATTTAAATCATAATTGAAAGAAACACAGACTTCTTAAAGGAACCCACTTCCAGAAAATGAAGACCTGAGCCGAAATGAACATATAAATTTCGCCAATTTGTTTGCTTCTCAGATAGGAGACATAAAAGAATTAGTTTTCCAAATGTGAAAGAGAAACTTGCCTGCCGAGAACTTTAGCCAGGGTTTGGACATAGCAATCAATCATCTGCTGCTTCGTTGCGCCTTCGCCACCGGGCTTGTCCATGACGATCAACCAGTGCTCGTAATCGCAGCCAGGAAAAAGTGGCGCCATCTCAGTCGGAGGCCGGTCGCTGAAATTTGACCCAGATCTGAGCGGCGAGTAGCCCGAAGAGCCACCGGACCTGTCCATCCGGGTCCGGATCATGGTAAATCGGGTCAAGGAGTGAACAAAATCGGCGGCATGAGAAAGCGCCGGAACAAATCGACGGGAAATGAGATAGGAAGGGAGCGGAGAAGTAGCGGAGGAGGAGGAGGTGGAGAAGAAACGGTTGACGACGCGCGAGGCGGTGGAACGAGCTAGGGTTTTCGCCATCGAAGCTCAGCTAGTGTTCTCACAGGAAATGACGAGCTAGGGTTTAAGCGAAAAGCTGGTATATTTACAACTACCAGCAGAAAAAAAAAAAGAAATTGTGAATTCCGATATTTATTTTAAATGGGCCTCAGATGAGAAGCCCATTACTGAAATTAGCACACTTTTGAAATTGTTAGGCATATTAAGTGATTAATTTTAAATTGGGGTATCGTGAATTCGGTATTTAATATGAATGGGCCTTGCACGTTCTATGTGACAAGCCTGACCTTAGGGTAAGAGAAGAGGTCAAATATGATTTTATCTGAATTCAAATTCAAACTTGAAAGGATATTTATCCGATTTTTTTCAATTTTATGATAAATTTAATTGGGTCAAAAGTTGTAAACTTTCGAATTATAAAAAAAAATGATTAATTTTAAATTGGCTATTACTTTGGATGGACCATAATAAATAATATAAAAAAATAATATTCATAAATAACCTATATAACAATATATAATAAACAATATGTATGTGTCGATATATATATATACACGATGCAAAATATTGAATCAATTTTATTTCTTTTAATTGGATATATAATATGTATGATAAATAATAAATGATGTGAAAGTATCGATATATATATATATGTATAAATTATAATTTCGTTATTGAGATTGGACTATCTTGATAACGAAAAAAATCACAGTGGAAGTTCACGAAATAGTGATTGGCATTTGGCACGTACCCATTTGTTGTATTTTGTGTTAATATCCTCTTTATTATTTATTTTTATAAACTCCATTATTTTTATTTAATAAATACTTTCGAAATTGTTCCTCTGAAAAAAAAATATATTTTAAGCGCATGACTTGAGAGTACACGTTTAATTTCTGTCTACAATAAATAATTATACTCTTTTGTAAACAATATAATAGCTGCTTTTATTTATAGTAAATAGTTTTGTTTTTGGAGAAAACACACACGCACGCTTATTTCTGCATGTACGTTCTTGCCAACAAACACGCTCACAAGTTGATATTTTATATATAGACGCATGTGCATAAACGCGAGTAGATTACTTGCTAACCATGATATATAATATAATAAAACATTAATTAAACTACCACATCCAACTGTTACAGCCAGCCACACAAAAATTGCAAGAAATAACCAAGTAAATTAGGGATGGATGTTTTCGATGTTCGGTTCGGATAGTTGGATTCGGTTCTTTCGCTTTTAAAAATAGAAAAAAAAAGGTCATTTTATAGTTTTTAAAAATTCGATTTTTTAAATTTAATACCGTTTAAAAAATTTATACAGTTTGAATTCAAAAAAATACCCTATTTTTCGGTTTGATATACGATTCCGAGAAACCGAATCGATACGTCCACCGTTGAAAAATCGAAACTCCCATTGAAATAAATAAAAGGCTTTCCCCCGTCCCTCTCTATTCCCTGTTATGTACTAACAATTGTTCCCGTGCATTAAGATTTATTTAAATCTTATCGAGAGATCTTTAATATTGTTCCATTTTTGGTTCGGCTGGAAAATAAATCGATCAACGTACGTTACGTATATGAAAATATTCAACCATATGAATATACACTTTCTCGCATACGAATACATCAACTATCAACACACAAGCAAACTTTATTTGTCGGAAGAAGGTTATACAAACAAGCCTTTTTTTTATTAAAACAAAAGACGGACCACGTTTCATAAGGGGAAAAAAACCCTAATGTAAGCAGACAGGTAGATGATCATAATCAGAGCTGGCCCGGAGCACCGGTGGCACCAGGAGGGTAGGTGGTCTGTCCGGGAAGGTGGTGGGCGTGGGCCTGCTTGTCGGCCGCATGCTCGGCTTTGGACTGGTGCAACTCAGCCTTGGCCTCCGCCTCCTTCGCCCTCCCTCGCTCGTGCGCCATCTTCTCCTCCTCTTTCGTCCTCGCCATTGCCGCCTCCATCTGCTCATCATTTGGACAGATCGAACATATACACCCAATATATAATCCATTAAAAGAGTGATTAATTCGATCACAAAAGAAGAAACGCGCATGGAGAGTAAAATGACGAACATGTTCTTGGGCCTTGGCGCCACCGATGTGGAGCTTCTCCTTGGCCGTGCTTGCCACGTTACTTATCTTCTCCTTCGCCGATGCCATCTTCAAAGTCTTTGATCGATCTCCGATTACTTTGATTCCTTTCTTACAAGTGGTTTCTCTGTCGGGCCATAATAATGTCTCTATTTAACCCCTCCCAAAGCGTAACGCGGTCGAGGAGGTGGGTTCTCGCCACGTGTCCTTAGTCGTCTACGTGTCGTCTGTATTTTTATGTTCGTTCCGGTGTCACCTCCTATTTTTACACGGTCGTTGCTGATGTGTGCCCATACAAGCACATGCCGTTGCCTGAGACGATAGAACTTACCATAAGTAAGACCATAGAATGGACACGTACTCTACTGTTATAAATACCCAAATACTATATTATTAAATTTATATTAATTCGAATATTCCCAAAGCTTCTTACAAGCCACGTGTCATTTCATGCCACGTGCGTGGATTGAAGCTCAACTTTTGGCTTCTCATATTTCCTTCGAAAGCGAGTTGTTACCACGCGCAGCGTCTCCGTCCAGGAATCCTTAACCGGTTGGTTTATGCCGATTCGAACCGACTCAATTGGGCTATTGACCTTCTTTTGAGCTAATTATTAAAAAAAAAAAGAATGAACCAAAGGAATTGTTTGAACCGGTTAATTCGGTTAAGCATTATGAACTCGGTTGCAGCGTATGGTTACCCTCTTCCCGAGCCGCGAAACACTTATCTTCAAGCTTGGGCCTATACCGCGAATCTCAAACGCCCCAAAAATGGCTCTGCTTTCTCCATGCACATTTTCTTCTTCGCTTTCCCGGCAAAATTTCCCGACCAAATTGGCAGATTTCCGGCGTAATTATCCGAAATTCCGCCGTGGAATTACGCTATCCGAACTCCAGACTTCTGTTGGAGTTTCCGCTCGAGTCGGCGGTGGCTCGTCGGAAATTCCGACGCACAAGGTCACTGTCCACGATCGACAACGAGGAGTAGTTCATGAGTTCGTGGTTCCTGAGGTAAAGACCATTTGGACATTTGATTTGTGTCTGTCTTTGATTCGGGAGGGAAAATGTCGACATTGTTGGTGTCATCTTCTGACTGAACGGGGTTTTACGGCTTAGATGTCTCCGATTCGCGATTACTTTCCATAGTTAGTTGGATGCGAGGTTCTGTTGATTTTGCTCCGTTCTATCTTATGGATAACGTTAATTAGGGTTTTTGAGCTGGATTGGCGATTTTTTTTTTTTTTGAGCAGTTCCGTTTGGCTAATCCAGCTAAATTCTGCTCGGGTTCAGTCCTTTTCTTTCTCCTATTTTCTTGGTACTTGACTGCTAGAACTGAGGCAATTGTGTCATATAGACATTGTATAACTTGCATGTTATGTTTCATGCTTACTTTGTTACATAACAACTCTCTATAGCTCAGTAATTGATTTTCTTTGTTGTTACGTCAACTTTGAACTGAAATGCAGGATCAGTACATATTGCACACAGCTGAATCTCAAAACATTTCTCTTCCATTTGCTTGCAGGCATGGTATCATCCTCCTATCCATTAAACCTGTTGATGCTTTTTATTTGATTGCCAATACCGGCATGTTAAATTAGATACACTTCCCTTTCATGAATGAACATGTATCCCACGTTTGAAAGTTTTAAGTTGATGGAGATGATCATATGGTTACGAAAGTATATATTAATGAACTGCTGTACATATAATCCGTTCATTTCTGCAAATTGACTTAGTTCCCAGTTTCCTCGTAAAAAATGTGTTGAATTGATTGTCAAATATTGCATGTTTAAGTTTTGATATTGTGCCCAAATGCTCAACTTTTCTTTGACTTGGTAGGTTGCTGTACTAGTTGCGCAGTACGTGTAAAATCTGGGCAGATCAGGCAGCCAGAAGCACTGGGGATATCAGCTGAACTGAAATCCAAGGTAACATCAGCTTGCCATTTTGGGTTTAGGAGATAAGTTCTATGACCTTTTTAGAAGCAAGAGCAGGCTGGAACTTTAGATAGGATTACGATTATTGAATATAATTTGGAATTAGGCCTCTTTTTTTAAAAAGGAAACTTTTTTAGAATGAAGTCATCTTCTCCTAAACCTTAAGTGAATCTATAGTTCAATATTAATCCATGGCATAGCAAAAGAGCAATATAATCTCTGCCTTCTTAGACCACATGGAAACTTATTTTTTCCTAGTATCATCTTACTTAGAGCTCAGTGTTATGGAAGATCTCAGGTTAAAACTGAGGTAATTGGTGCCATTTCCTTTCTCACTATAATGGCATTCAGTGATTGGATTTGAGTGTCATATGTATGATATGATATGATGATCTAAGCTATGTCTAAATTATCTACCTTATAAATGCAGGGATATGCTCTTCTTTGCGTGGGTTTCCCATCATCCAACCTTGTAGTAGAAACACAAGATGAGGACGAGGTAACTTTGAGAGAATTGCCAGAACCGCTGCAAGGACTTGGATTCTTGCATTTTTCAAGTTTAATCATAAATTGCTGTAATGCACAGGTATACTGGCTGCAATTTGGAAGATACTTTGCTCGTGGGCCGATCGTAAGTTCCCTCACCCAAATCTGAGTCCACATATGACATATTCTTGTCATATCTCTTGTGTGTGATAGAAATCCATCCAAGAGCGTGAAATTAATGAAGAAAAAAGTTCATAGGAAGTTAGTCATAAGTTTTCTAGTTCATAAATTGTTGATGCGTGTTACAGGAAAGAGACGATTATGCGCTTGAACTAGCCATGGGAGATGAATAGAACAGACACATCAGAGCCCAGTTCTGAGACATTCTGTGTCCAAAAAACGTGAGTTTTATTTTTTGTACTGTTATCCTCGAGATCTCTTAGCTTATATACATACATATATGTATATGCATTTGCATGTGTTTTTGAGCAATCATCCATGGTTGTGTCCGGAAGGGAAAAAAATGAATCAATGCTATATCGGTCCACATGAAATGGCATCTCATTCGGATAGATGCGAATTCCCAAGGGAATAAAATTATGTAACTACTGCATAGGATGTGGTCCATGGAGAAAAATTGCAAGATGGGATAAAAACATAGTGTGGGCATGCGATATGATGCTTTCTTTGTTCCTTTTTGGGGTTGATTTTCACTCACAACCTCACATAGAACACACCTCCTTTGATATTTTCTCAGAGTTGATTGATATATTTCGATCCCAAATCCTTCAATTGTATCTATGTAGTAGTGTAGCATGTCTAAGATTTTGCTGCCCAAATCTTATAATTCCACCCTCATCATACGCATATCTAAGGGGCAAGGGGGGGGGGGGGGTG